CCTGCATAACTCATGTTACAGGTGACTAACTGGTTCTTTTCATTCTGTGCATCTTCCATGTGGTACCACAAGAACTACTATAAAGAAAATGAACTCTGTCCCATCCAAAACCAGTATAGCTTGGTCAGTTATGCATCGATGGAAGCACTGGAGGCAGAGAGCATGATGCAGATTCATTACTGTAAACCCATTGAAAGAAGAAAGCTTGAATTTTAAGTTGCCAGGTTAAGTCGTAGGACTCAGGTTTTCCAGCTTAGCATGTCGTAGCTGAAGTTTTTATCTTGCAGCCAACATGAATTCATTGTAGCTGTTTTGGGGCTTGCTTTAGAAGAAAAGCTCTTAAAGCTTGACCACTTCACCATACCTGATCCACTTCAGTAGCTATTCCGTGTACACTGTGCTTATTCTGGTTCATGTTTGAGATGAGTGTTGTGTTTTTTAATATTGAGTTTTTTCTTCTTTCCTTGAAAAGAATAACATTCAGCAAATGTTCCAGAAACTCCATGCTTTGTTAAGGGAAGAATTTAGTAATGAAGATCTCCAGATCATAGCTTGTCCTTCAATGGAACAGGTATATATTGAAACTCCCTGTTTTATCAGTTGCTCTTTCATGTGACTGGCTCTGACTTTTTTAAACATTCATTTTATCATTTTTAGTATTTTCCGTGTTCAGAATCTCTATTTACTGTTCCGCTTAATCCTGGATGATTAAACACAGGGCTTTATCTTAACTCTAGGCTTTCAACTAAAAGGAAGTTTTGTTTGGGTTATTTTAATGAATATCCCTTTGAGGTTTTAAACTGAAGGTGGTGATTGATGTTGCTGGGGATTGAGTTGTACAATGAGTCTTGCCATTTCTGGGCATTGTCTTTTTGGAGAGATAGGAAACTAGTGAATAGGCTTTAAAACAGCCTGTGGGTGTGAAGGCAGCTTGGCTTTTGACAAATACAAAAAGCAGCAACTTTTATATTTGGGAAGCATGAGGAAGAATTACAAGGGTTTATTTGAAGTAAATTGCATTGGGAAAATATGCAGATGTTTATGGGAATGTAACCCTACGTGATAAGCTCTTTAGTCTCAGAGATGATTGGGGTTAAGAAATCTCTGTAGTAGGATGCTCTGACAGAAGCCAGGTAGGTTTTAAAAAATCTTGCTTCGACCTTAGTGGTCCAGGGAATGTGAATAGAATTGTAATTATCCCAGGATGCCAGTATTTAAACAGAAAATCTGGTTTATGGATTAGACTACATTGCCAGTGTGCATATTTTTTGGAATTGCTTGACAGGGCATAAAGTCATCTTAGAAACTTTGACAAATTAGGTTGTGACTGCTGAAATAACTAGTCAGCATGGTCAACAATTGTGTTTTAAAAAGCCTCTGAGCAGGCATTTGACTGGCAGTTTTGGCCAGTTGTTTTGTAGCTGTCTTCTTGTGATATGTCCAAGTCTCTATGTGCTTCCTAGGAATCCTGTTTAAAGGTTAAAACATAAGGCATCAATTCTGAAACTTAGCTGCTGTGTCTAATACAGGCTTTCCTTTTGTCTTTCAGGTGAACTTACTCTTATCGATGTCCAAGTAGCCCAACAGTGAGGCTGCTTGAAAAATCTTCAGCTGAATGCCAGCCAGTGAAGGAAATGCAAAGACATTTGCTTGAAGTAAACGAAGGATCCCACTGTGCAGTTCAGTCTGCATCAACACTATCCAGGCTGCTTAACCTCGTTTTAGGGAAAAAAAACAAAAACCAAAACAAAACAGTTTTATTGATTTGTTAAAGGTTTTCCTGTTCATTGGCTTGAGACGTTGGGGAGAGAAAACAAAACCAAACCCCCTTTTCTGATCACTCTTATGAAAGCTTAGTTACTGCTTTATCCGGATGTTTTCAAAGTTGAAATCCCATTTTTTTTAAATGTAAAAGCCTTTCCTTTTTTTCCTTTAATAATCTGACGTATGCAGTAAAAAGTTACACTTTCACAGACACTAGAAATAAAGTGCAGAGAATCAAATGGGAGCAGTAATAGGTATTTGCAAAGCTTGGATATAAGCACATTGGTGTGACAATTTGACTTAAGCAAGCATGCTCTGATTTTCTTTAACTCCCATGAAAATCCTGGTAATCCACCACATGCTTGAACATAATTCACATGTTCTTAGTTGGGAAAACTTATTTCCCGCATGTGAAGCATTTCTTGAAACGCTGGATGTGCTCTTTTTCTTATACTGATTGGGAGCTGTGAGGTCTGACCTAAAGTTTCATGCTCGGACCTTCATCATGGAAGGAATCTTAGATCCTTGGGATTTGCAGTGAAAAGCTGTTCAATATAACTTCTGTTAGTTCTGAGGGAGCTGCATGTTTTCAGATGCTTTACAGCAAAGCTTAACATGGAGGTTCTCAGGTACTTAGGTTAGAGTTGTGGGCTTTTTCCTTACCCAAGATTAAGTGGTGTCACATAGTTTAAAGTGGGAACTGAAACGAACTTTCACAGCCTTTGTGTGCTGGAGGAAGTGTTAATAAGAGGGTTTGGGGATGACAGAAATTGAATGTGCAAGCCTGTCATATCAGCATTGTGAACAGAGGGTAAGGACTTGGTAACCAGTAAACAAAGCACGCTTTTCAGTGTGTATCAGTTGGTCATTATTGAACACTTGGCCACTAATGGAATGAAACACTTCAAGCAGCTTTTGGGTGTCTTGGTGTGTAAGTCTTCATTGTGCTGCACTGCAAAAGAAAAATGTGGTGATTTAAATGGCAGACTTTTAACTTGCTTATAAAACCTGTTCTGTACTTTTAAATATGTCGAAATTTCTGTGTGCATTGGTGGTGTTTTGATTTAGGGATGTTCCTGTTATAAATCACATGGCTGTACACTAATGTAGGATTTAAACCTACCATGAGAAGTGTTGCAGCAGTGGTGCTGTGAGGTACGTAAATGGTACTGATAGAACCTTACATGACTCCTTAAAAATTAACTAAAGGAACTAACAAGGAAGATAACTTGTCCTTTCTTTTTTACTTGTAGAAATACAGGCTGTAAAATAATGTCCAGTGCATTGTAATATATGTATATTTGTTTTTTATAAAGTTTTACAGAAGGACTACATAGTCACTGTACAGAGTTATGTCTGACTTAATACACACGTTGTACAGGTAGGGCATGAAGGGTAACTCGTTGCAGTAGTCACTCTTGTGCTTGGGGTCTTTTTCTCTTTTAGAATACCCAGATAGCTCTAGGACAGCTGATTGAAAGATAAGAAGAGCAATCAGTTTATACAGCCTGTTTGCTAAATGAACATTTGTTTAAACATGTACAGTTTCAGATATTTACGTTTACAAATAGTGTAAATACTTTCAAAAGATTAATTTAAGATGCTTTATATTATCTGACTAGAAACTTGCTGTTTTTAATTTTTTTAAAATAAAAATGTTGCCTCCTATTTTGGTCCAAGAGTAAAGCTATATTCTGTATCCTGAGGCTTGTCTGTCAAGATAACTGTAATACAGAGACAATAAACATCCTGTAAGCACAGGCAGTGCATCGCTGAGGAGAAGTGTTCTTTTTTTAGCAGTAAGAGAATTGACATTTTTGGCACAGATGTATACCTGAGTGCTGAATGTACAGCTAATTGTTAAAGTAACACCTCTTTATGGTTATAATAAAAGTAAATTTGTATTTTCTTTACTGATAAATGATCTTGTGTGACTAAGCGGTCTCTTGCAATTTTGTGAGGGGGAAGAAACTAATACAAGAACATATTTTAACATAAGGCTTGGCGTTTACTTAGAGAAAACTTGGGAGCTGGTGGCAGAAGGCACAAGTATTTGATAGCTCTGCTCGTGTTACCTGGTTACTCACAGACTCTTCCACCTATAGTTTCTCATTACCACATGCTGTTCCTCTGGCTCTTGTAGAAGCACATCATCCAGAGGCTTGTGGTTGTCCTTTATAGTGTCAGTGTGAAGCATCCCTTCACCCCCTGGCTTTGACAATGTCATTTGAGTGAACAAAGGAAAAACTCCTTTTTTGTGGAATTTGGCTTCTCTCTGACCGGTACAGGGCAGCAATGAGTGACCATTGATTGCCTGCTTGGTGCCTCCTGAAAAGGTTTGTCCCTTTCGGATTATATATCTCATTGTCCTGGGTTCAGCAGTAGCAGTCATTTTTCTCCTTCTTGGTAGCTGGTGCAGCGCTGTGTTTTGACTTTCAGCCTGGGAACAGAGCTGATAACAATGACGTTTTGGTTTGGCCAAGGACTTTGTGAGCCTCATGCTCTGCCAGGGAGGAGGGGAAGCCGGGAGGAAGCAGAGACAGGACACCTGACCCAAACTGACCAAAGAGGTATTCCATACCAACAGCACGTCATGCCCAGGATGTAACTGGGAGTTAGCCAGAAGGGCTGGAGTCTGCAGGGTTGGTGGAGGTGTCGGTCAGAGCTTGGTCAGGCTGGGGAGCAAGTTATCGGTCGGCTGCTGGTGAGATGTTATATTCTCTTCCCTTGTTATTCCCTTTATTATCATTGGTGGTAGCAGTAGTGATTTGTGTTGTACCTTTGTTACTAAACTGTTCTTATGTCAACCCATGGGAGTTGCATTCTTTTCAGTTCTCCTCTTCATCCCTCTGGGAGTAGGGGGAGGAAAAGAAGGGGGAGAGTGAGTGAATGAGCTGCCTGACTGGTTTTAAACCACAACATTCATAAATGAAGTAAATGTCAAAGCAGCTGGCCAGACATTCACACTTCTTTTCGTTCAACAGTGGTGCCCCAACATAGCTTGTGCTGTGCTGGGTGCTGTTCATCATCCCTCTTCACCAGCCCAGGAATCTCTAGGTGAGAGCCAAAGCAGGCTCATGTTGGTCACATTTGGTAGAAGTAGTTCCGTAAGTCCAGTTCATCAGCTGTAGGAAGAAAGCCATTTCCTTCAAAGTACTGCAGGTTCAGTGTATAACCCCACTGCCATCCATCAAGTGCCTTCAAATGAGATGAGCTTAGTGCTACAAGGACTTGATGTACAGGAAGATAGGCATTGTGAGCTTGAAATAAGGAGCTTTATTTTCATCACAAAGTGACTGTTAATCACCTTGGTGGAGGAAAAGTTGTTCTGAAATGCTGATGTAACTGCTTCCTGCAGGTCTTAATAACTTAATTTCAGTATTTCCCACAGATAGAAGATACTGAAACACAAGGAAGTGATATCACTAAGAGAGGGGTTGCCAAAAGTATTACAACACTGTCTGTATTTTGACAGCAGGCTCCTGAGCTGAATCGTTTTATACTGAAGAGTTTCACTTTGCTTTCCATCCACCTAAGTTGGTGACTTGTCTCTGGGTCTTTCAACTACAAAGAGAGTCCCTGCAAAGTGAAAAGCAGAAATCTATGAGGAGCAGCAGTGGGTCTTGAGAAGTCTGAATTTTGGGGATGGAGGAGCAGGTGCTAGTGCTTCATGCTTCTGCATACTGACCTTGAGTTGTTGCCACCTTTTTGAATAGCTGCCCCAGATGTCTTCATTAGCAGTGCATTTGTGGCCAGGGGGAGACTATTGCTATGAGGGTTGTCAACATTTGGTTTGTGCCTGCATCAGGATAGACAACTTGAATCCTTCACTCTGAGGCTACAGCTTCAAAGCAAGCATGAGCTCCTGGTGTAACGTGTGACCTGCGTTTCAGAGCTGACCAGTCATATCTGCATCCAGTGAAGGATGGGGATGCACAGCATTAGGCTGGGACAGTTGCAGTGGGTGGCCAGAACAGCATTTCCACCTCCAGGAAAGGGTCAGAGGTGGGAAACCTGAGTTCCAACGAACACCAAAGTTTTTTGGCACTCCCCAGATGCTTGTTTCAGGTTAAGTCAAATGTTGTTCAGATAAAATCAGAAGCTTTGTGTGTGTATAGACATTTAATATAAATGTTTTGAAAAGAAATAGTGTTTCAAAATGAATTTGTGAGACTTGCTGTTCTTACCCTTCAGCGAGGGCATTTCAATCTTATCTAAATGCTTTCCTGGAAGGGAATTTCATTAAGATTCAAACAGGCAGGAAATTTGCTTTTGAATGAAACGGTGATTTTTCTGCCTGAAAGCTTGTGACCAGCCCCATGCAGCAGCCCCAAGCTTATCTCCACTGGGTGGTTTCCCTGCTGCTGCTGTTCTCCACTTTGAGCTGGCACCCCATGATGAAACGGGTGTGATTGCTATGGCTGGTGAACAGTAAGTCAATTTGATCCTGAGCCATGATTTTAATGGTGATGTGGCCATTAGGTTTCATGGTGGGGGACTGGAAAGGAGGGCTGTGAGCATAGTGGCTGAAGTCATGCCACTTCCAGTGTTTCTGGCTGGCCTCTACCTGGTCCAAGAAGATGCCAGTGCCAGGGCTCCAGGGCAGGCCTGGCAAACACAAAGCTGGATGGATCTAGAAACAACAACTTCCCGGTCCCAAATGCCAGGTTTGTGTGCAGTTGGACCAAACATTTTTGACATCAAGGAGACACTGCTAGGACCTCATTTATCAGGTCCAGGAGTTATTGGCCTACAGTAAAAGCACAATACAGTGGGTCCCCAAAGGGCAGAGAAAGTCCTTATGGGCTCTGTGGCATGTTTGTGTGAGTCCCCCTCTTCCTATTGTGAGTCAACATCTGGAAGTCCCTGGTCATGGTAATTTCTTTTGTTCTGACAACCTTTATGCTAAAAACAGGTCCTTGTGTGTGTGTGTGGTGCTGGGTACAGGAAATGGCCTCGACAAACTGCAAAGGAGGAAGAAATGCAGTGTTTGGTGGAAAACAGCCTGTGTTTATGGCATACAAATCCAAATCAGTGCTCCCCATCTCATGACAGCCTGGGCAGGCAGCTCTGGGTGCTGGAGCATCCCCCAGCCATGGCACACAGGGAGTTTTTATCATTCATGGAGTGTGTTACATCAATCTTTTCCTGCCTAAGCATGAAGAAGTTGATTCTCACTGGGCTATGTGAGCTGCTCAGGCTCCCCCAGCATCATCACATGCTGCAGCTCAGAAAAAACAGCAGGAAAAAAGGATAAAATCTAACATTGCAGCTCTGATGTGCTACCGCAATGGATGTGGACAAGCCTGAACGGGTCCATATGTGGGACAGACAACCTACTCACAGGATTTCTGTTTTCCTCTCATCAAAGCTATCTACTATCTTTGTACATATCAGAGTGGTCACTTAGCATTGCCCTTAATTTACAAGTGCTGGGAAAGGCCATAGCAGCTTCCCCCAGCTCAGTGGCAAAGCATCAGCCGGTACATGGCTAATGCAGATGGCAAGTGTGTGGTCCGGTGGGGTCAGGAGAGACCTATGGTGGGGCCTGTGATGGTTGAGTTCTTCTAGGGATCACCTCGGAGCCAGGATGGTTGCTGTGTGATGCAGGAAACGACAGCACGACTGCAGGCGAATGGTGGGATTGCAGGAGTCTGATGTAAGCTTTATTGCAAAAGCTAGTTAAAATTATTTGTAATGGTCAGTTAAGCATTTAAGATGTCCATTGAATACTCTCAGCACAGGGAGGATTTGTAAAACTAATATGGGATTTACTGATTCCTCCAGATACTGGTTTTCTGAAGGGAAGCTTTGGAGACTGAGGTTAGGGAGTCCTGGGAACAGGTGGAAAAAATGTCTGTCCATCAGGATAATGGCATCTTATAGGATCAGGAGAATGGCAGTGCTGCAGAAGCAAAAGTAAGGTGATGGGAGCCAGGTAGGAGTGTGGGAGTAGTTCCATGGGAATACCTGCCTGGACACAGGAGACAGGGATAGTCTGCCACAGGCTTTCCTCTCGCCACAGCAGTAACCAGCCCCAGAGCATCACCAAAACATCACAATCTGTACTTTCCAAATAACCTTGGCGTTTTTTTGTTTGTTTTCTTACTTCTTACTTAAATCCTTTTAAAAAACTGAAGAAAACTCATCCTTCACTTCTGTGTTTTTGCAGTTCATGTACAAGGCTCAGCTCTTCTTATGTTACGTTATTAGCTGCTCTCTGATGACATAATTTACCAAGGGCTCTCTTTCCATCAGACACACAAGTAATTTATCCTGCAACACACTGACAAGTGAAACAGAAACATTTCTTTGCTAACAGCTTAGCTCCCAGCATTATGAGGGAGCTGGGTTTAATGCTTTCTCATAGGAATAAGGAGCATTACTCCCTGCTTCTCTGGGAAGAGTGGAGAAAATCTAGGAGAGGGGGGAAGCGGGGAGACCTTGCTCTTCCCGTTTAGCACCATCATTAGGAGCAGCAGCAAACTGTCAATGTGCACAAAGGTTTTGTCTGTCGTGGGAACTCGAGGGGCTTGGCCACAGCAGCTCCCCTGTGGAGGCATTTCATACGTGGGAAGTGGCTGACCCCAGCCATAGATGCAGCACTGATTTATACCCTGAAGATGCACATTCCTGCTCTACGGAATAGCTGGGAATTACCTCCTGTTTGTGAGGGACGGAGGGGAATGAAAAAGCAACAAACCAACAATTTTGTTCCTGCTTTCATTTTTTAGGCTTTTTATGAGGCTAAAAAGACAGACGGTCCCAGGCAGGAAGATTTGCTGCCACTGTATTTCAGGAGGGGAGAGCAGTATAATGGGCTTCTATATAGAAAATAAAAAGCCAACAAAACCTCTGACTGTGTCGTTTTCTTGCACATCTGCAGGAACTGCAGTGCTGTTTGGTTTGGGAAGGGAGAGGAGAGGCAGGGGAGGGCAGAGAGGAGTGTGCTGCAGGGGGGTGAGCTGGCAGGGGGTCCCATCCAGCCCCCCACAGTCTCTGCTGTGTGGCTGGGTGCCCTGCTTCACCCCACCTGTGTGTTGTGTTCCGGTACTGCCACTCTGGTCTCTCAGGTTAACCCTCAGCTTGCATGGCCGGTGGGACCAATCACTGCATGCCATGTATGCTGCTGACCCCTGCAGAGCCAGAACACAGACCCTGCCCAAAAGGCTCAAACCAGGTCCACTGCCAAAATTGCAGAGACGAAGCAGCTGGTGGCTGCTGAGCCCTCAGCTCTAGCTGCTCCTCATCAAGCTATTCAGTGCCTTTTAAGGGTTCTACAGTGAAAATGAGCTCTGCAGGGGTTCTCAGGCAAGTATTGCCTTGGCACCACTGAACCATCCCTCTAACATTTTACTCTGGCTCCATTCAGTGCTGCTGCCTGCTCAGCATGTTCTGCTGGGAGCAGATGATGGATCTTCCTTGCCAGTGGTACCATCATAGCACTGACATGAGGATGCCTCAATGCTTGTTGGTGCACATGGGCAGCAGTGCAGTGCCACAAGTAAGCTCCCACCAGAAAAATCCTCTGGGGCAAGAGTGAAGAGGCCTAGTGATGGGGCTGTTTTCCCAGCAGAGCCTGGGACTGGTCTCCCTCAGCCAGTTACCATCCCAACAGTTACTCCTTGATACTGTACCTCAGCTTGGCTTGGGAAGAGTTTGAATGGGAAGTGACATCCAGCTCTTCCTCCACTTCACCTTCACCCATCAGTTCTTGTGTGACAGCATCAAATGCTTCCTTATATCTCCTGCAGCAAAAGACTTGAGGGGCACAGTTCCCATCAGGAGCAGTGGAGCTGGTATGGGGCATCTCGGTGCACTAGGGTCCTCCTCACCCTCCAGCTCCCTCTGTCACATCCCTCTCTGCTGCTCCCATGGGATGACTGTTCTCCTTTTCTGCCAGGAAGAAGTTTCACGTTAGAGGCATGCTTATGGCTTGCAGATAGGGTCCCGTTTTGCTGGGGCTGTTCCCTCAGACCCACCACTTTTGTGACTTGCTTTTCAGGGTGTTGTGGTTTAAACCCAGCCAGACAGCTCATTCGCTCACTCCCCCCCTTCCTCCCTCTTTCTTTCCTTCCCCCCCTCCTCCTCCCCCTACTCCCAGAGGGATGGGGAGGAGAATCAAAAGAATGTAACTCCCACGGGTTGAGATAAGAACAGTCCAGTAACTAAGGTATAACACAAATCACTGCTGCTGCCACCAATAATAATAATGATAAGGGAAATAACAAGGGAAGAGAATACAACACCACCTGCCGAAATGAGTCCAACCCCCAAAACAGAGCCCGTGCCCTTTCAGGTAACTCCCAGTTACCCCCCACCCCGGGCATGACGTGCTGTGGTATGGAATACCTCCCTGGCTAGCCTGGGTCAGGTGTCCTGTCTCTGCTTCCTCCCGGCTTCCCCTCCTCCCTGGCAGAGCATGAGCCTCACAAAGTCCTTGGTCAGGGTAAACATCACTTAGCAACAACCAAAAACATCGCTGTTATCAGCACTGTTCCCAGGCTCAAAGTCAAAACACAGCACTGCACCAGCTGCTTAAGAAGGAGAAAAAATTGACTGCTACTGCTAAACCCAGGACACAGGGGCACTGCAAAAGGTGCATTTTGCAGAGCCTTCTGTCCGGGTGGTCTCCTCAAGGGCAAAGGAAATGCAGCATCAGCATCATTAATCTTGTAAAAAGTCAATTGGGCTTAAGTCTAAGCTGTTGTCATAAAGGCAACCAAGCCAACTACATTTAGTGTAACACTGGAACTCCTTTATAGTATTTATATATATATATATCATGTCGGGAAGCGTAGGCTGTATTTAAATATCTGTGCTCCCGAATAAATGCTGTTGTCATGTTTACGGCTCCTTCTTAAGAGCTCCATGGAAAGTTATAGTTTTACATATGAAAATGGGAACAACTTTTTAATTTGGTCTTTTTTTAAGATCCTGTGAAGCACTGAGGAAGTGGAAAAAAGAGCTTTAGGCCTTTTTAAAATCCCTGAAATTTTAATTTTTTAAAACTATTTTTAAAAAGCAGCTCCCTTTAAAAAAAAACACCAAACTTTTGAGAAATCGTTTGAGAAACAAGACACGCTCAGTTTTTAAGGCAATCCTGATATAGAGAAACTTCAAGGGAAATGAGCATGTTCGCATTTTGGAAAGAGAAAATAACCTGTGTTTGCAAAGCATTTGTGGTGGAAACATTCATGATTAGCTTTTCTCCTCCCTGATTGGACAATACCAAGTACAAATACAGGCTGGGCAGAGATTGTATTGAGAGCAGCCCTGAGGAGAAGGATTTGGGGGTGTTGGTCGATTAGAAGCTCAACAAGAGCTGGCAGCATGCTCTTGCAGCCAGAAACCAGCTGTATCCTGGGCTGCATCACCAGCAGCATGACCAGCAGGTCGAGGGAAGGGATTCTCCCCCTCTAGTCTGCTCTCAGGAGACCCCCAGCAGTTCTGCTTCCAGCTCTGGGGACCCCACGCAAGAGGAACATGGACCTGTTGGAGTGAATCCAGAGGAGGCCACAAAGATGCTCAGGGGGCTGGAGCACCTCTCATGTGAAGACAGGCTGAGAGAGTTGGGCTTGTTCAACCTGGAGAAGAGAAGGCTCCAGGGAGACCTTACAGCAGCTTCCAGTGACTAAAGGGAGTCTAAAAGAAATATGGAGAGGGACTTTTTACAAGGGCATGTAATGATGGGATTGGGGGGAGAGAATGGCTTTAAACAAGATGGAAATAGAGACTTCTGCCTTTGTGGCTGAGCACCTTACCCACTGAGAGGAGGGGTTGATGGCTGCAGTATCAGTGGATCTGACTTCGCTTGAATTTCTGGCTTGTGCTGTGGATCTGCGAAACTAGTGGGGTTTTTGTTTTAAAGAGTGTGCATTTTTTTCCAGGAGACACAAGTCTTCCTGCAGCTCAAGAGGCTTTGTGCCTGAGTCACTGACACTGATCACTTCTTTTCTCATCAAACAGATCCTGGTTTTTTTACAGTCAAGCTTCAGTCTCTTAAAGGGGAGAGCCTCTGCCCTTCGGAGAAATTTTTGCTCCATTATCAAAGAGACACTGTCTTTTTTCTCCCCTTACAGCTGCAGGAATATTAAACCGCCTCTGCACCGCATTTTTCTGGAAGCCCCGTGCCTGTTCTGAAAGGTGCCTCACCAGAGAGCTGCAAATCCTGCGGTGCCTGGCTCTAAAGCTGCAGCAAGAAATCACTGGTTCTGGGGAGGAGAGGGAAACATGCTCTGTGCGACCCTACTGCTCCAAGGTGCACCACTGGGCAGAGGTGAGGAACCCTCCAGTGAAGCCGATCCCTTTCTCTTCTGATTTTTGCCTAGGTGAATTCATTTCATGCTTGCCTCTGGTGCTGGAGTGATGCTCAGCCCAACTCCTTTTGGCTACAAATAGCAGCGACAACTCTTCAAACTCTTACCGCAGACAAGGTTGCCCCAGCAGGAAGGAGTGCCCCTTGTTGTGCTGATCCCCGATGGGCACTGCTGCAAGGTACTGCTCCACGGGAAGAAATCACCACTGAAACTGTGCTCATCGTTGGTAACTTCTGGTTTCTCTCCCTAACTGACCAGCTAGTCTCACCTCACCCAGGTAGAGGGCAGTTGCCAACCCATCATCCTCCTGCTCTCCTCCCATGGACAGAGGCTTCTTGTCCAACTCCAGCCTTAGACTCCTGGGCAGGCTTGACAGGCTTTTTGCAAGGAAGAATTGCCAATTAGCTCCTATGCATTTGAAGTGACATCTCACAACTTTGTGTGCAGAGGCTTACACAGAGAAAGGCTTTGCCATCCATTGTTTCCCTTCTGCCTCCTCTCCCAGGGTCTCAGGACTTCTGTGCACATCTTTGTGTCTGGGCCCAGCTTCAGCAGGAGAAAGTGCCACCATAACCTTGTCCATCTCCCACTGGTCCTGTACAGTCTGGTGGAGGGGGCAGACACACCTCCCAGAAGTCTGTTTGTGCAAGGGGAGAGGTAGACATGCTGGTTAGGCACAGCACCATCCATTCACAGAAACGCCAACTGATCTTCAGTGAGATCCCAAGAGCTTGGGAAGCTGCATTTCTTCCTTCTGCTTGGCACCTGGCACTTCAAATTTGAGAGGGAAAAGATGCTAAATTAGCCTGAACATTGTCCCATGCTTCCAAATATTAATAAATGATCTCAGAATAGCAGAGAACAAGGAGAGAAGAAGCTTACTGATGATATTTAGGGTGGTTGAGGCAAAGGACTGCCTGTGAAGAGTTACAGAAAGACCCTTGTGGCACCGAATAAAACGGTAATGGAATCACAGATGAAATCTGATGTAGATAAATGTAAAGTGATGCGCATGGGGAAAGACAATCCTAGCTTTACGTACAAAATAATGGGTTCTGAGCTGGCTATTTCCACTTGGGAGTGAAATCTTCAAGCTGTAATAGATAGCTTTATGCAAATGTCAGTTCAACACTGAGTAGCAATCAAAAAAGCAAACAGAAAGCTAGACATTATTAGGAAAGGAAGAGAGAGCAAAACAGAGGAAATCATTATGTTGCTGTATAAATCCCATCTCTTGAATGCTATTGTGCAGTCCAGATTCACCAATCTCAAATATGATACAGAAGAAATAGAAAAGTTACAGAAGAAGGCAATTGAAGATGATCAAAGGCATAAAAGGGCCTCCATTCAGGGAACAACTGAATAGATTAAGACTTCTTATCTTGGAAGCAAAAATGACTGAAGGAAAAATATGACCGAGTTTCGTGATGGGATGAGTGGCGTGACTACGGAACAGCTGTTCACATTATTCAGTGCTCTTCAAAGGGAGAGAGTGATCATCACAGGAATCCATCAAGTGACAAGTTCAGAATAAACAGAGGAGGTTTTTAGCTGTGGCCCTCCTTGCCACAGGGAACAGCGGATGTTTAAAGTTTGTGTTGGTTCAATAGGGTGTAAACTAATCTGTGGAAGAAATATCCATCCAGGACTATTAAATGCAGAGATGATATCTACAGCTCAGGAGGTTCCTGAGTCACAGACCATTGGGGAATGGGGAGTATTCTAGGAAGTATAAACACACCTTTGTTCTATTTTTGTACTGCTTCCTGAGCATCTGCTGGCTCTTGTCCATGGCAGGATGCTGGGCCAGGTGCAATCTGTGGGCTGACCCTTTGCCATCATCCCTATGTCCTGCATTGCACACCAGGCTGTATCTCCCAGTAAGGCAAAACAGCTTAAATGTAGCCTGAGGTGTTTGGTGCTGCTGCCTGCCACCATTTCTAAAACAGCCCCTGAATCACAGAGACAGAGCTGCTTGGTGGCTTTCCAGCCTCAACATACCAGGCACAATTCTTAGCTTAAAAACTCTTCACCAACACCCGCAGGCAGGTGCATCCCTTTTTCCTTTAGCTCTCAAAGCAAAAGTGTCTGTAGGCCAACCGTTTTGAAGCATGGATATGACATGGGACAAAGATAGGACCCTTGTGGCTGTTGGTGGGACCCCTGAAGCAGACCTTAGTGACTGAAGGAAAGAAGCAACCCACCTGAGTGCTGGCTACCTTCACCCTGGTGGTGGCTTTGTCTCAGAACAAAGATGTTTTATGTCAGTCAGTCTTCCCTCAGCCTGGCCTGGATCATCTTGGGTTTTATTGTTCATTGATAGAGAATGCATAATTATGAACAATGGGAGAATGAAAAAAGGAAAATGTTCAGCAGTGTCTTGAATGGTTGGTCCAAATCTGAGTCATTCACTCAAGTGTTCCCCCAGTAAATTAAAAACAAACACTTGGGCGCTCTACTGACACAATATATAAGTGCCTCCCCTGGCTGGCACCTCACCACCTTAATGACAGACCATTTTTTGTCCCTGTGCACTTCTCCAAGGTTGCCTTAAAAGTCATGCCTTGGCTGTTTACCAGCTGACAGACACAAACTGGGAGCCTTGATTTGCACCTCCTTTCCAGCTAGAGATGAGGATGAAGGATAGTGACTATTATAAGGTAATCACACCCTGGAGGAAATTCCTGAGCTCAGGTATCTCTGCTTCCCAGATCAGGGTAATCCCCTTGGACTTGGCTAGCCATTGGCAAAGCTTGTTGAGCTGGGTCAGCTTGTCAGTCTCTGCATTTGGGATCCTGCCCTATTTCTGGAGGCTGCTGCATTGCTAAAGCAGCCTCATGTCAATGTTGCATGCTCAGCAATGTGGAGGTGAGGCTCATTTTCTGACCATTTTCACCTATAAAGCCTAATTTAAAGTAACTGTAAGGACAAATTCTACTCTTATTGACACCCGTGCTATTTTGCAGCAGCCCTGAAGGAGTAATGAAACAGGAGGACAATCGGACATTAGGCTGGTCAATTGATCTTCAGGAAAGAGAGCACAAAGGGATCCATTACACACACTGAAGCAACACTCACATGGTGACTGTTATGGGAAAAAAATCCTCACCCACTTCTATTTCCCCTAGTTTTCCATTAGGAAAAAAAAATCTTTGGCACTGTAGGACAGGGAGGGAGAGTCTTGAAGGCAGAGTGTGAACTGCAAGTAGGCAAGGGCAGGAATCTTGGCTGCAATCTGGGGAAATCAGGTGTCTTCCTCTCCCTCTCCCTCTTCCTTTCCTTCTTCCTCTCCCTGTCCATCCCCCTCTTCTTTTTCATTTTCCTCTTACTCTCATTTTCTCTCTCTTTCTTCCTCTCCTGTTGTGGCTGCCTCTCTCACCCACTCCTCCTCTCCCCCTACCTGTCAGTGGATGGGGCATCCTGCAACCCCAGCAAAGGGGGTGACCCAGGCCAAACCCCAGCCCAGTTCCCAGCATGTAGATTGGCCCTGTCCCACTGTCCCTGGAGGGAGCTTTTAGCCGCATAAAGGCAGACCCTTGGTACCCCATGGCCACATGCCTCATGCATGCAGCATCACTGGTGCAGGCTCCTCACTCCTGTGATGCCCTTATTGTAATGTATTTGTGCTGAATAATACATATTTCTTGTGAAGAAAGGTGGTTATTTCTGTGCAGGGGGAGGTTGGCAGCTCTGAATACTGAACAGCCGCTTCCTCAATGCAGTAGGATTCAACCTGGTAATCAACCCTATTAGCGTTAAAAGGAACTGTCTAAATGTCAAGCCAGGTTCAATAAATAAGCACTAACACATTTAGAAATAGCTTAGAAAGGGGAATTAAAGTTTTGCTGCTAATTATGTTTCTTATTTTAGATTTTCTGTCAATTCTAGTTCTTCCATTCAAATGAGACACTGCTAAGATGAGGGAAATGAGATGGCCTGAAAGCTGGAGGTTGGCAAAGCTCTTCATATATAATAGAGAGCTAATGGGGACCTCCACCCCTCTCATGGACCAGTGGAAGCACAATAAAAATAGGGTCATCAGACCTTTGAGTTAGGTACCTTCCAGCCTTCTGTTATAGGGTGTTCCAGATCCTCTGGTACCTCTTGATCCTGCCAGAGTCAGATGAAGAGTGCAGGCTCCTCTGACCATCTGAAGGCATGCAGCCCAGGATACAGGCAAGCAGAAGCAGGGAGCGTGGCTTGCTGGAGGCACATTGTATAAGCAGCTACAGAAATCAGTGCTGGTTTTGACAACTGACCATACCCCTCCAGACCCAGCCACCTCCAGCGCTGCCTGGATGGAAGCAGGTCACCCACGCCTGGTGCTTTGATGCTGCAATGACATATAACTGACACTGATCGCAGAGGCTAATCCAGTCTGCCCCATAATGTCCCCAGTCAATCATGCAATATTCTGTTATTGGAAAAACTCATTTTTGCACCTCTGATGGTAATCAGTGGATGCCCTGAAGCACAAGGCTTGATAGTCTGTGTAATTTGCAACCTAGCTAAGTGCAACTGCAGATGTTAATCCTATTTATACAAACGCTTGACTAGCAAAAGTAGGGATGGAGGGATGAGCTGCAGGAGAAGGCATAGAGCTGGGTTTTCAGGAATTCTCCTGCAGGTGTCAAGCTGGTACAGCCCCAGTGATGGAAGACCTCGTTTGGAGTGGGCAAAGGGAGGTAGCACAGGCAGCAGCTCTGCAGTTGTGCCCCTCCTTTGGCCTGGTATCTATTCTGGAAAATGAAAAAGCAGACCTCACCATGAAGCACGGCAACCATTCTCTACCTACAAATGTGTGTCAAAGCCTGTGAAAATAAAAAACTAAAAAAAAAAAAAAGAAATTAAAAAAGGAAAAAAACAGAAAGAAAAAAAACAGGAAAACCAAAATCCTCTTCTGTCTGCCCTCTCCCCTTTTTATTCCAAAAAGAAAGGAAGTGCTTTGCGTCCCAGGTCTTTCTTCCACAGCCTGATTCCTCTGAGGACTGCAGATGTCCAGACAGAAGAAAAGGGGGGTTTACCTTGTCTGCACTATCTTGTCATCAAACTTTCAGGGGGTAGGCAGGAGTGCTGCCTTGCTGAGCCTATCTCCGCTCTGCTCTCTGGAGTCAGCTGCTCTTTGCTTTGCAGCTTTCATTTTGCAATTTTGCTAAATCTCTTCTCCTTTAAGTTCTGCTTCCAAATTATATCCACCTCCCCTTTCAATGCCCTACCTGTCTGCTTTTACACTGCCTTTCATGCTCTGCCTCTTTCATACTCCCTATTCTTGTTTTCCTTTCCTTTCTGGGGTCTGTCCTCCTTAGTTTTTTGTTCATGTCCCCACAGCTATTGGTACTTTTTCCTTCTCTAATATAATATTTCTTGCCCTCTTTCT